TAATGTGCTTTGCAGAGTTGGAGTCAATAAATGGTTGATATTGCTTTCATGTCTTAAAATAGTGAAAAAAAAATCCAGGATTTTGGTTTAGAAGGCAGCTTCTGGATGGAGCACGGCCCATTTGGAGTTTTCCTGTGAAAGAGCTAAGGGAGAGTGGTGTGGTGAGCCAGGTGGAGAGGGATTCTTTGGATGGGGAGGGTTAGGCAGTGCTGCTTGCTTCCTTCTCTTTCCCTGTCATTGGGACTGGAAAGGGTGAATATGCCACCACAAAGGACATTTCTGGGTGCTCCCCTCTGGTGAGTAGGGTAGGGATGAATGCTACAATGCTGGGAAGCAGCCCTGGGGCTTCTGCTGGTCCCCACAAGGAGTGTGCCCTGGGGTGACTAGGGAATTGCTGACCGCGTTCTCCACTCAAGTCCCTGCTGGCATGGAGGGGAAGGATGGTGAAACAGTGGAGGTGGTAGGAAAGTAATTATGTGTGTGAAAGAAGTGGGGAGGTAAGGGAGGGACTGTGCCCTTCTTCCCTCTGTTCTTCCTCTTCCCTGGCCTGTGACATGCCAGCTGAGCTGACACCTAGCGTAAGAATTACTGACATACAAAGCCAATAGCTCTGGGTTTGAATTTCAGATAAAGCTAAATTGTCCTTAGAAGCAGCCATAGTCAGTAAGCAGCTTAAGTGTTAAAAGTAAGGTTTTTTTTTTTGTTTAAAGCAGATAGAATTATTCTGTAGATTGTATCTTAAGTTATATGAAGGTGCTTTAATTCATAAGCTACTGTTTGTCTGTATTCTATGCGGTGGGCATGATTTAGGGACCAAATCAGAAAAACTTCTGTTCTTGTTCACTTTGCAGGGCCAGCAGAGCAGTGCAAAGCTACAGGGTGATCATTGTTAGTGTTATGCATCGTTGATGCTGTGGTGGTGGCTGTGAAGACACGAGTGACTTTGGGTAATACAGACCTCTGTGGTGGGAAAGCAGCAGTGCTGCTGCTGCTGGGCAAGCAGAGCCAAGATTCACTGTGCTTCCACAGCTTTGGTTCCTTATGATAGTGTCAGGGAAAGAGGCCAGCTTGGGAGAAGATTGCTGTCAGATCAGGGCCAGCACTTTGAGTGACAGCTTTTTGCCTATTAAGGCTAAGCAGCGAGCATCAATAGGGAAATCCATTTAGCTGGTTTTATTAATATTACAGTACAACTGCCCTTTCATGTACTACAGCAGAAGTAAAACAAATTATTTTTTTAAGTCTAAATGAATATGCAGAGGCTATAGCAAGTGAAGCTGCAGAATCAAGATTCAGTAGGAGACATTTGTGTGTCCAGTTCGGTTTTAGGGTTTGTATGAACTGTTTTCTGAAATGTCTTTACTCTCCTGCATAACACCTTTTCTACAAATGGTTTGCACAAGCACACATATATCAGGGGGTCCATGCAGATGTTCGTGGCAGCCAGCCACAGAGTGCTTTCTTTTGCCACAAAGAGCTGATTCTGCAGATGGCAGTCTATTTGGGTTGTTGTTTGACTCAGAGTATAGGGGACCCTGCTGAAATGAAAGGGGGCAAAGCATAAGAAAAACACAGTGAAAATGATGAATACTTTTCCTTTGACCCTCCGTTCACTTTTGTTGTCTTTCTTCTGTGTTTTCATATAAGACTCATAGACTTTTTTGGCAATAATTATATAAAATAGAAGCATGAGGATGAGAACAGACCAGAAGATGAATTGACATATATAATTGACAGCTTCATGCCATTTGAGCCCAAAGTAATTCTTCAACAAGGCACACTTCTTCACAGATTGGGGTGTTGCTTTCTTGTTTGAAAAGATCATGTTAGGCAGAGAGAGAATAAAGAAGAAGAGCCAGACCAGACCCGCGAGGATCTTTGCTGAGGTCAGGTTTTGCACCCAGAACTTCCCAAAAGGTCGCACAATCTTGAGAAATCTGTCAAAAGCAATGAGACCCAGTAGCACAATGCTAATATACATGGTGTCATAAAACACTACGGCTGAGAAGCGGCAGACAAAGGCTTTGAGTTGCCATGGTCCCAGGCCAGAGTCCGTCAGGATTTTCAGAGGAAGCATCAGGGTCATTATCAAATCAGAAACTAAGATATTTTTCAGGTAGACAATGAAAGTTGATGTGCTTGGAATGTGGCAGAAAGCACCCAAAGCCAGGCTGTTTAGTACGAGTCCCAGCAGGAAGATGAGTGTATACAGTGCTGGGAAGACCAGGTGGATGACTGTGGTGTCTCGGTGGCACAGTGCAGAGGAAGGTGCTCCACTGAAGTTGCTGACAATGCTCTCATTTGCAAAGTCTCCCATGGTTTGAAATAGACTAGGGTGAAAAGGAGAGAGAAACCATAAACCATAATATCCTGTATTTAAAGTTAAGTGTTCCTTACAGTGACTGGCAGATTTAAACAAACACAAAACCTGAACATGCATTAAATAGACTGACCAATTTCTCTTCTAGTTCATAGAATCTAAATCCTTGCCTAAGTTTAAGTTGCTACAAACTGTTGTCTAGTGAAAAGTTGAAATGGTATATATTCGTTATGGAAAACTAAGATAATATAATAGCAAAGTATAACAGCAGATTGCCTAGGGCAAGCCCCATTTGTCTTTACATGGTAATGTATTTTAACATTAAACAGAAATTTCACAGTTATGGCCCAGAAGTAATATGCTTCTGGTGTTTCTTACCAAGCACACACTATTTTTCCCTTCTCAGCAGAGATTTAAATGACATTTTCAAGATAAGGTGCACACTGCTGATTATCAGCATTTTTCATCTGAAAGCCCAATGACCGAGTGCCCCATCACACCACATGAATGCTCTGATCATACAAATACCTGAGCAAGCCTGGCAGCAGCTGTTTCAGAGAGGTGTTTTTGGCTATCTCTGGTTCATCCACTGTTCCTCTGCTGACAGGAGCCTCAAGCAAAGTATTAAGAATGGGGAAATGTGTAGAAAGATGAGACTTTTTCTGTTGGTGTAGCATGTTGTTTCCTTCCTCATTTCCATGTATTGCTTGAGTGCTGTTGCTTTTCTCTCTTCCTTTTGCTCTTTGTCAGAAAGTCACTGCCTTCTCCTATGCTAAAAAAACTTAAAAAAAAAAAACCAACAAAACCCCCCCAACCATATCCATCCAGACAGGCACATTTTCTGGTTTTTTGTTTGTGTGGGGCAGACCTGATGGCACCTACACTGTGCTGTTGCAATTCATCTGTCTTAGATATGTGGGATGCACAAACACAACGTTTCCTGACAGTTTTCCAGGATAATCCTCAAAAATAGCTCTGAGTTTTTGTTTGTGTGTGTGAATTCCCCTGTTCTGGACACACAGACGCATGACTAGAAAGGCTGCTCTGAGCCACCCTTATACTGAATTATACACCTTTACACTGGTCTCATCTACAAAGTCATGTGCACACGTTCAGGAACTGTATGCTCTCTCGGCAGCCTATTAATATTGACACATGAGTCTAAGGTTGACTTTTGATCATCTGAATGGGATTTCTGGTTTCTTTTGGCATCTGTGTGTCCAGGTGATGCAGCATGCTGGTTACAGATGCCTTCTGGTTCTGGCAGAGGCTGCTGCCACTGCTTGTATTTATGATGTGTTTGTTACGTATAATGTTGGAATCTAGTGGATTGCTCTGTAAACAGAACCTTTTGTGTAAGTTTAACTGGTTCATGTGATTTGTCTTGTATTTTTCCTGTTGACTGATGTGACTTAGGATTCTGACTCCTCGCCACTGTGTGGGGAATGGCTCACATCCAAGCCGTCCTTGTGGGCAGGCATAGTTTGCTTTTGAAGTTCTCAAGCTGCAGCTGTATTGACAGCAAGTTGGTGCATTAGTAGCTACGTTTTGATTAATGTAGGTCTGCATGCTGATGTCGGTGTTAAATGGCTGGCAGAGAGCAAAGAGCCTTGAGGATGACCAGCATGAAGGTCCCCTTCACTACTGTCACCAGTGGTGTCCCTAACTGCCTGACCTGACTTTCTGTCATTCATCAAGGACTAGATAAAGCTGAGGTGGGCCATTGTAATACCCCAGGACTGATGTACACAGCAGCACCTTGCATGTTTTCTTCTAAACTGACCTCCACACACTGTTCGCAGCAGTAAGAGGCAGGTGCTAAGTGCCTCCATGTATCCTGTCAGCGACTACTGAGTGGTGCACAGGGAGCTGTGCTATACCTGTTGTCTGACAGCAAGTCTGACCAGGAAATGCAGCTGCCACCCTTTCTCCCTCTGTAGGCAAAAAAAAAAAAAAAAAAGGTGGGAAATCAGTGTTGGGTTGAAGTGCGGCATCTTGCACTAGTTTTCTGTGCACCAGCTGGAGCTGGTTGGTCCTGGGCCCCAGCGGGCTGGCTGCGGAGAGCGCGCATCAGTCACCCGCAGCAGTGGTTCTATGGAAATACCGGTGCCCTCCCAGTTACTGATTGTAATACGTGTTGGTGTGTCTGTGAATATAAGCAGTGCACTAAATGCTTCGTAAAATTTATTTAAATTTTGTAAAATTTTATTTAATTCACCCGGGCAGGTTATAAACTGAGTAAGTTGCTAAAGTAAGTGAACTGTCTTTTAACCTTTTAGGAAATTATTTATCAGTCATAAAAATGCCCGATGCCCTACCAGGCACAGAAAGTGCCAGAGAAGGGTAGACAAGCAATAACTTTTGTCAGAATTGAGCTCTTGCATGATGGTGAAACGCTTTTCTGGATTGCAGCTGTTTTGCAGGGATGATAAATGTACCATAATTGATTATGGTAGCCTAGGATCTTTTTCATGTATGGTGGTTTTGATACCTGAAAATGTTATGCATTTTTTTCAATTTCTTCTAAATGAAAAAGAGGACATTGTTAAAACTTTTGTATAATGCAAAAAACCTGCCCTTAATAATCAGCAAGCATTTTACCTTGAGTCTGTCTTTCCCTATGATCTAAATTGAATCTCTGTGTATTTTCTAATATAATATAGTGTTCTCCATAAAAGTGTACATTTTTGTTTATTTATTTAATTGAAGTATATGAAGATAAGGCATCAAGATAAGCCTGATTATGAAATAATATCCTGTGACATACAACTGTTAATTACTGGTCAATGAATTAGGAATTGCAATAATATAATGAGATAAGCAAAATGTTATTCTGTTACCCAAAATGTGCACAGATTAATGATTTATATACCTATGTCGTATATTTCTGTTTGCCAGTTGCGTACAAGGTGACAAGTCCCTATATTTAAGAATCACATTTACTGTGTATTTTATTTGCATTTCCCAGATATTGTGTTGTCACGGACAACTCTTTCTACAAAATCTTTGCAGTTCGTAATCTCATCTGTGACATTTCATGACTCTGTTTTAATTTTTTTCCTTACAGCTCCAACTATAAGTTCAGACTTCCCAGCAATTCTTACAAACATGGAAGTTGTGATTGGGTGGTTGAAGTTTTCTAGTCTCACAATTTTTTCAACAAGGGATGTTGGTTCCAGGGTGTTTGTGCTTCATTTGCAGGACAGTTTCTAAAGAAGTCAGTGAAATTCTAGATACTCTTTGCTGGAGCAGTTCTGCTTCTACCTACCAGTAGACATATGTGGCCAAGAAGGAGCGTGGTAGCTCTAGAGTGGTGTTTCATCTGTGTCATCTCCTTCATTCTGCTCCTTCATCTGTGCTCTGAGTTCTGACGATGCTGTGTGCTTGCACAGCATGTCAAGCAAAGACTTTCTAAATGATTTGCAAAGGAAAAAGTATATGAATGGTTCTAGGCAAGCATTTAGTGATGTCAGCCACAGTGTGCTCTCTTTCAAGTAAAACAAGGTGTTCTGAGCAGAGCATTCAAAAACATCTCTTGTTTGGCTCAGTGTGTAGGGGATTCTAGTAAAGTGAAATGGCACAAAGCAAATAAAGAACACTGTGATAATGATGAAAACTTTCAGATTTACAGTCTTTTTGGATGCCTTTCCTGTGGATCTTGTCCTTTTGTAGGATTTGTAGAGTTCTTTACTTATGAGTATGTAGCATACAACTATAACTGCTAAATTAATCCAGAAGATAAGTTGACAGATGTAGTTTACGATTTCATGCCAGACTAAGCCAAACTCTGATTTCAAGAGAGCACACTTTTTTACGTTCTTAGGTGTTTGCTTCTTGTTTGTTAGAATCATGTTGGGTAATGAAAGAGCAAACATTGATATCCATATTGCTGTGGAAAGGATCTTTGTCCCTAAGAGGCTCCTTGGTGTTGATGTTCTGAATGGTGAAGCAGCTTTCTGGTAGCGATCAATAGTTATCAGACCAAGAAATGAAATGCTAATGTACATGGTAAAGTAAAATACAACCTGGGTGACCTGGCACACAAATCCTCTCAGTACCCATGATACCAATTTTGCATCGCTAAGGATTTTAAATGGAAAAGTCAAGATCATAAGGAAGTCAGAAATGACAGTGTTCTTGAGGAAGATGATGAAATTGGATTTACTGGATATTTTAAAAAAGACCCACATTGCCAGGCCATTCATTGTGATACCCACCAGGAACAGAACTGTATAAAGCAAAGGAAAAATGACTTGACTGATTCTGTTATCGCTGGTGCAGTTGCTGTTGTTTCTAGGGTAGCTGAAGTTGGTTATGACTTTCATTTGCACTTCGTCTATCCACCCTTTCCTGTAAAAACAAAAAAGATAATTGATTTTTGAGTTATAGTTGTCATAAAACTTCAACCTTTTTTAGTCTAGTTTTAATTTCTGTGTTGTGAATGTTTTGTGGGGATTTTGACTGCTGTAATTGTGTTTTATTCCACTGAGCATGTCAGGTTTCTACAGGAGAAGAGCACTAGATGTAGCTATGTTTGTAAGGTGATCTGGTTTGATCTTCTGAGACTGAAATACTAAGGTGACCTTCCATCCTGATCTCCTGAGCTTCCATCCTGACCTTGTGAACTTCCCACACGGCTTTCCTAAGACTTGCCTGCAGGGGTGGGCAAGCGCCTGGCATGGTGGTGCAGCCAGCATCATGCCTCCTGTCCCATGGTGTGTGTAGGTGACAGCACAGCTCTTGCTGGGTGCTGTCCAGACCTGGGGACTCTGCCATGGATGTCCCGGTTCCCATGGCCCTGGTGCTGGCATTACAGCTGGTGAGGAGCTGGTGAGGGCCATGGTATGTGGGTCTGTGTGGTGCGGGCACACTGCAGTGCACACTGCTGGTGGCAAGGCCGTGGTGCTGCACACAGGATGTCCAGGCTGCAGTTTCAGTTGTATGACACCCATCATCCAAACTGCCCATCTACTCCCAGGGAGAAATACCCCTTCCCTTGTCTTCGTCAGTGTGGAAAAGGGAAGCATTTAAACTCATTTTGACTGCATATATAGCAGTGCTGGACTGAAGTAAAAGGAATTGAATACCTCTTTTATTATGTTTCTGTATGGCTGGACTCTTTCTCCTGGTAGTGTTATTTCAGCCTTTCTTTTGGTTGTCTTTGAAGCAAATCTCTGCCTTCCCCTTCCTGCCCCTGCTCAGACCCTAGGAATAGCTGCTTGTGGGCTGCTGCCATTTCACCTGGGTGCTCAAAGGATGGATGTGGCATCCCGCAGAGTCACTTTTTGTTGCTTTCAAGGGGAAGAAAGTGAAAGAGGAATACCTGCTCTTCAACCATACATATTGGCACTTGGACAGCTAATGGTATCTGTTACTTCAGAGATTACGCTTTTGCCAGCAAAACCTGAAGTTATTTGTAGCTTTATTTATGTGGGTATTCGTGTATACCATTACTCCTAGTTTGGCAGTTTATCCTGTCCTTTTCCTAAATCAATTGCTTTACCTGTGCTGTGTTGCAAGTGAATTTAAAACTTCACTGCCTTGAGCCACCATGCAGGAGTTGCAGCATTCCATGCTCTGCAGTGAGCACCTTTGTGAAGCTGCCGCTGAGCCTCTGCAGAGTGATGTGCCCCTCCGAGCCCACCCTTACCACAAACCCGAGTACGTCGTCTGGCCTGTCACACACAGCCACTATGTGCTGGACGTCTGCAGCACTGGTGCCAGTGGCTGGGCTGAAAACTGATGCTCTTAGTCCAAAAATCTTGGTCAGATCAGGTCTGATCCAAACTGGATGCCTGGGAAAGCCAGGCAGGGATGTTGAATCAGTAAAGGCTGTGTTTCAAAAGGAGCAACTTTCAGATGTGTAGGTGAACATAAAATTGCTCTATTTCTGTTTAACTCTGCCTTTGTAAAAATAAGGCACTCAGGGAAGCTGATGCTTTCTCAGGTGATGCCCAGACGTCCCTGACATAATCCTTACAGATCTGCAAAGTTTTATTTCTGTCTATAAGATAGAAATAAATTGGTTTATGCTTTGAAGCTCTTAATAGATTCAGCTTCCAACTCTAATCCTAATAAAATGAGTATTCCCTTCGCCTGCAAAATCAGACACCTGCCACCCACCCCAAAATAAAGGAGAAGGTTACCGTAGTGTGTTGTGGAGGAGCGATGAAACACTTGGGTGTTTCCGTGATGGGAAGCTAGTGTTGTTGGCAGAGTTGTTCACAGTTCCTCTAGCTCTTCCCCCTGTGAGCAGGCAGGAGTGTTCATGTGTCCATCCCTTGGAGCAAGGGGCAGCTGGAGGAGCCACTGTGCATCCCAGCTCTGAGACTTAGACCTTCCTCTGGCTGTGAACTGACTTCTTAGCCAGAGACAGCTGCAAAGTCCAGGTGACGCTTTTGGTGCTTCTGCTTTTGTTCCCTCTAGAAGAGAGGGAGAAACAGAGCTTTAAAAAAGAATTAGCTGCTGACTTCCTGCTTTTGGCCTGCTAATGGAGTCACTGTTTTTAAGAGAGCCTGTATTTTGTAGGACTCTGCAACTTTTCTGAGTGTACTCCCCTCTGCTCTGTTTTTTGCTTTGTGGTTCTTTAGTATTATTTCTGTATGCAGCTTTATTTCTTAGAAGAATTTAAGTAGTTGAAAGAAGTATTGATTGCTTAGTTTGGATAACTAAATAATTGTATCTTGCATGACTTGCAGAACAGTGCTCCAAGTCTGTAAGTTATATGCAGTGTGTCAACATTATATGACTCATCTCATTAAAAGACTAAATATAACTAGTTCCAATTTAAATAAACCATACAAATTCTTATTTGTTTGGGATGTGCAAACCAGAATTTAAGGAGTTGTGCTGCAGCCTTTTTCAAGAGGCTTGCACATAATAAGAGAAATGTCACAGTTTCTAGGCATCTGTTTTCTATTTACTAATCTGCTACTGAATATCAATCCAGGAACAGTTAAGAGAGTCACCATATGCATCCTCTGACTCTGTCCTTAGAGGTGCAAACATAATTCATAATATCAAATTGCGTTTTTTCCCGTGTTTTTTCCCCTATTCTTTAGTCATTTCACTAGGCAGAGTTTCATCCACACTGGTAACCACAGGAGATGCTTTTTTTGCTGAAGAGTTGATTATTGTTTATCACAGCCTGAGCTGCTCCGGTTGGGTTTCTACAGAAGATGACAATAAAAAGAAAAGAGATGATTCTATGTCACTTGTATTTGATCTTTTCAGGATGAATCTTCAAGTCATGAGTGTAACCAGCGCATGACTCTCCTTTATGGCGTTGGTAAGGAGCGTGATGAAGCAAGGCATCAGCTGAAGAAGATTACCAAAGACATCCTCAAAATTCTGAATAAGAAGAGTACTACTGAAATGGGTGGTAAATGCTTTAATGCTGCTGTGTGGTAGCCTGTAGTGAAGATTGTGGGAGCTGTAAGGTGCTCAGAAAGTTGTCTGGAGCCATGAATGTTGGTCATGTAATTTGTCTTTCATCCCCTTCACGGTGACGGGTTGCAGTACTGACCCGAGTCCTGTAGCACAAGGTGCATTCTGGTGGCCTTATGTACGGCTGCACCAGGATGCCGAAGGGTTGATGTGGCGAGAAATCCCTATTTTTCATTATAGCAACTTGACTGTAAATGCTTGTGTTAAGCTAAGGCCTGAAATAGGAGATCCTGGCCAGTGAGGAATGCATATTCCTTACCCTCCTGGTAAAACTTGTGTGACTGTTTTTCAGTTTTTCTTGGGTGTTGCTTTTTTTTTGCATTGGAATAACCTCAAAGTAGCTTTGATATTGTTACATGCTGTGGCCCATATTTGTCCCAGATATAACGGAAAACTGGGGCAAATAAGAGTTTATGTAGTCCTGAGTAATGCTTAGGAAGATTTTTATTGTCTTTTAAATCAGTGATAATGCAAAAAGCTACTAGAGATCCATTAAATATAAAATGACCAAAATAACTTTGTGTCTGTTAAGTTGGGGATGAAGGGCAGAAAGCCAGGAAGACCAGACAAGAAGCATTTCCAACCCTAGAGACTGTGTTCACAAAACTACAGCAGCTGTCCTATTTTGATCAACATCAGGTGACATCTCAGGTATTGCCTATATAAAATTGTAGCCTTTTACATTCTGCTGTAGAGATATCAAATAGGAAGCAAATCTAGGCTTTTAGAAGTGTTTTGTACATACCAAGAATTTTCAGTGCACTGCGTCTTCAAAGGCAAGAAGAAGAATGCTGCCTTGGCATTCTGAAATCCCTTCTTCAGTAGATATTTGGGGGTTTGTTTTGTCTGTTGGCAGGGGGGTGGCTGGTTGGTTTGTTTGCAAGCAGCTTTCTGGATTATTATGGATTTTATGATTTTTTAATGAAAGATTTGTGACAAATTTTGCATAAATTTCCATTAATAGCATTGTTTAGGGATTGCTGCTAAATTAGATACTCATTACCCAATCTCTTGCATGTGTGCAAGGTTACATTACCGTATAGATGTTCATGAAGGGCAGCAAACTCTTCTGTGTTTTTGTGCAACAAACTATGTCTCTTAGAGAAGCTGGTGGGTAATATGGTTTGTTATTTTCTGGATATTAGAATTATTTATTAGAATTTACTGTTAAAAAGCTGTATCAGGGGCTGACTGGAGCACATAAGTAATTAGTTTTAAATGGCAAGCCTAGTTTTCCTGGTTTCTATTAGGACACGTAAGTGGGCAAATGTGTCCGCATAGGATTTTATCGCTTTGTCAGGTGTTACTGTGTTTAAGTATAGCTTAACTTAACATTAGAAGTTAAGGCTAACATTAGAAACAGAGTAAAAGACATACACTTTTGATACTTAATTTATGAAGCAGCTTTGGCTGTGGTCTTTGGAATTAATTTAGTGCATGTTTTGCTTGCAGGTTAACATGTTATTAATTGTCTGAAAACCATCAATAAAAAACCAGAATGCAGTAACAAGAAAAGAAAAATGATTTTACCTCTTCTTTAAAGCAAGATACAGCACAGAATAGGAATCAGTACCGTAGATGTTAAGAAAAGTTTGACTCCCAGCTGTAAAGCAGCAGAACAGCATTTTTTGTGTTGTCAGTTTTGCAGATAAAACAGCAATGTGATGGACTTGGAAGATAGCAGAGTAATGGGTGTACTCAGGTGTGATTTGTTAGTGCTGTTATCTGCAAAAGGCTGTCACTTGCTATTACCGCTTATAAAATAGGACTTTGGGAGCACTAGTATGTCTGAGAAGCCCTCAGTCACCGTATGGCTTTTCAACATTCATTTTCACAGATCTCCAGTAATGTTCTCGAACAAATAACCAGTTTTGCCTCA